AAAAAAAAAAAAAAAACAGAGCAAGAAGACAAACTGGACCAGAAGCACACAAAAGAAAGGGAACAGTAAGATTAGAGCAAAAATCACTAAAACATGAGAGAAAAATCAGTGAAACTAAACACTGATATTTGTGAAAAACAAAATGAATATATCTTCAGTTGGAGTGAATAAGAAAAAAATAAGAGAAAGCACAAATCAACAAAACCAAGTGTTTGAATTGAGGACATTATTAATGACATTCGAAGTTAAAAAATTATAAAGAAACACTATGAACACCATAATACCAACGAATTAGACTACTTAACATAAATAGACAAATTCTAGAGAGACAGATTACTAAAATTGTATCAAGAAGAAATAGAAAACCTATATAGACCTAGCAAATATGGAAAGGATTAATAGTAGTCCTTACAAACTTTCACACACAAAAAAGTTACACATATATTTACCATATACCTCAGGAAGAAATTTGTTTAGGAGATGTGAAAATACATATCCACCCAAATACTTGTGCCTCAATTCATTATTCATAAAAGTTAGTTGCTAAGGGAGTAGATGTTAAAAGTTCTCATTACAAGAAAATTTTGTAACTCTATGGGTAATGATGAATGTTAATTAGACTTAAGTGGTGATCATCTCGCAATATTTACATATATTGAATCATTATGTTGTAAACTTAAAACTAATATAATTTTATATGTCTATTATATCTCAATATAAAAAGTGGAAACAACCCAAATGTTTACCAACTGATGAATGAATAAACAAAAGGTATATATTGTCAATTACTTTTTATCTATAAAAAATAACAAAATATTGGTACATGATATAACATTACAAATCCTCAAAAACTTTATCCCAAGCAAAAGAGGTCAATCATAAGAGACAACATATTGTACCATTTCATTTATTTGAAATGCACTGAAAAGCAAATCTATAGAGACAAAGATTAATGGTTGTCTGTGGCTGGAGTTGGGAACAAAGAGTAATAATAAAATAACTCTTATTTGGGTAATCAAAATATGCTAAAACTGGATTGTGCTGATGGTCAAATATCTCTACACATTTGCAAAAGTTATTTTGCAATGTGTAAATTATCTGCAATGGGTATGTTTTATGACACATAAATTATGCCATGATACATCTTTTTTTTTTTTTATAATGAACTCTGAGGACATTCTTTATAATGAGTTTTGCTACATTTTATGCTTATATTTTCTTTGTGTGTCTGTGTGATCTTTTAAGGTCCATACTGTGAGAAGTCAATGAAATGTTATATTTCTCAGTCTTGTTGGAAAGGAGAAATTTGCCAAAACAAAAGCTCTGCTTACATTTGTGAATACCCAGAAGGATTTTTCAATCAAAACCATGAAACTGATGTCCGTGAGTGTCCCTCAGTACCATGTCAGAATGGTACTAACTGTGTTCATGTTGCAAATGTAAGTCTGAATTTAGCAAGAGAGTGATATAGATGATAGATAGATAGATACACAGATAGGTAGATATAGATATATCGTATGTATATATATATATATATATATATATATATATATATAT